CTAAAAGTACTTGAGTAGCTACGTGGCTTGGTAGGAATGCCTAACCCCAAATGGCTCTCATAGGTTAGCAGGGCAAAATAAGACTTGCTGTTAGCCTAATTTGGGATATTGGAGGGCCAAGAACTGAAATAGCTGTGTTCTCATTCCTCTGCTACTCTGAAGTAGCCACTGCTTAGCTATATAGGCTAGCCAGCGAGTTCTGCAGTGAAAACCAGTCCTGGCACACTCTGTTTTCATTTTTGCCAGCCGTACGGAGCAGTGCTCCTCCAGCTACGTGGCATTGGTCTCTGATGCTGTTGCAAAGAAACCTCGGGGGGGGTTAACCCCTGTTTGGGACTCTCTAGACCCACGGTGCAGCTGCTGTCCGTGCCAGGGAGCTCATGCTATAAAAGTAGCGCATGCCGGAGGTGTGAGCCTGCATCGTACCTGGTTTATCGCACAAAGAGCACCAGTCAGTTCTCAGCGTGAGTGCAGTGTCCTTTACCCACAGCTGGACTGCATAAACTGAGAAAGATCGTATTTCTCTTTGTAGCAAATTCAGCAAAATTGGTTGCTGAGTGAGAGTTGAAGAAGTCATAAAAGTCCTGTCAATGGGTTTTATTGTGCTCTTGCTAACAAGTGAGTGGTGCAACAGCCTTATGTTACGCTAGATGTACAAGACTCCTCTTTATCTGCAGCTTGCAGTACCCTGTGTTAGGTGTTCTTTCGGTGGCAACAACTTCTCAAACTCCCTCCCAGAGATACTCTGGCAAAGTACATAAGGCCGAGCTTCCTACCAAAATACACTAGTTCTTCCGAGGCCTTTTATTTCTCCAGCTAGAGGTAAGCAACAGGAGACAGGATGAAGTGGAAAATGGGACTGATAGACCCGACTAGGGGAAACAACTCCTGACTCCCACCATGGAGTATCATGGGCTGTAGAAACTGTGGCATCCCCGTGCCTCTTTAATCCAGCTAAGATATTGGAGGATGAGGGAGAAGCACAGTGCCAGCTTCTTCAGGACTCACTAGCTGCTCTCTCGCAGATGCTTAAGTGCTGCTGCCATGCTGTAGCAGACGATTCGGAAGCTGTCTTGTCACCTCTGAGTGCCTGCATCTGGGAACAGTTTGGGTTTTGCTTATTTTTAAATACAAGGTGCTCTGGCGCTGATGCTGGGGGCTAGAGCTGAGAATTTCTGCTGAGAATAGGCTGGTGTGAGAGCCCCAAAAATGATTGTGGCCTGGGGAGCCATGGTGGAGCCTGAGGTTTTGAGTCATGGCAATTTGGTGGCTGCTGAAGATAAGGGCCAGGCCTAGGAGGGACAAGCTCAACACAGGGTGTGCGTCAGCCTGGTATTGTTTGAGGACTCTGGAGAGTGCTGGGCATGGGTCTGGTTGGGGCAGTGCTAACTCTGTGGCTCTGTTTCAGCTGCTTTCTTCCAAGACTGCATATCTGAACAGGACCTGGATGAAATGAACATCGAAATAATTCGAAACACACTGTATAAGG